TTAAGAAGGAAACTTTCTAAAAACTACAAGCTCAATTATGCATTTGTGCTTAACCTTTTAGATATTTGAAAATAAGGCTTCTGCCAGCATGAAGAAATCAAGCAATTAAATTTTAAAAATCAAAATTACAGGACGTATGTGATTCAATCATATTTAGCTTCGTTGCAATTCAAATTTAAAAAATAAGAACAAAGATTAAATTGCAATGCATTACCAAAAATAAAAATAAAAATGCTAATTATAAATTGGTAACACTCAAATTATAGATTTTCCCCACAAAAGAAACACTCAAAACATAAATGTACCTGTCTAAGCAAAAATAAATAAATAAATAAAAATAGAACATACCATGCCCCAAAAGTTTCATCCTGCGCTCCCAAGCCTCATTTTATACTTGCTCCTAGAATTAAATCATTTGAGTTTAGGGCCTCTCCATCCCACCTGTGTTTCTCCCGCTATATAGCATGGGGAAAACCTTGAAAAGTCATAGCAGTTAAAAGGGTTAGTTCTCATAGTTAACGTTAAAAGCATTTGCGCTTACTATTTCCATATCAACCCAGCATCATTTGAACTTCTTGTGGTGAACTTTGAGGATTGTTCAGCCTTCAACCCTAACTTAGAATTGCAAAAAGTAATGTGATCTGGGTATGAGCATAAGAGAAATGGAAGGAGAAGAGAATTAAGAAAGATTAGAGATAGAAGGGAGAATAGAGGGATTGTTATTCATTTATGCATAAGCCTCATTACATCATTCCTCGTCTACTTGTACACTTTCCGAGAGCCAATTCTGGTATCAGTTAAAACTACTAAGGTATCTTCTTACTAAGTCCTAAGTTCTTTAGGCAATTAAAGCTAGGGCTTTAATTTTTACATGTATCAACTTAATACCCATAACATACAAATAACATTTATAGCTCAAATTTCCTCATAACCGGTTCCTCCCCAAAAGGTGAAAAAAGCACAACTATGCTACACCAGTAATTTGCATGATGAAAACAAACACTAAACTTGTCACGCCAGCCACCAGCAAATCTGCGACCTTCGCAAAATAACATCCTCGTGCCTGTCAATGATATTTGAATTTCACTTGAATCACATACCTCATCCGAATCTGGTCTACATTGTACACTATGTATTCATTGTACAATAAAGCCCCCTGCAATAATAAATGCAGGTACACCAATGAGAGATATGCGTGCTAAATGAAAATTTTAAACTTGATTCAATGGTTAAGATCAGTTTTTCTTCATATTTTATAATTAATTAAAAAAGACCTGATGGCTTGACTGGTCTACTGGCTTTCCTAAAGGAACAACAACGCCATCCTCGAGTCCCTGAGCTTCTGAAGGATTAGGTGCTGTTCTACCTACTCCTTTTGTGCTGCAGTATTAATTTTAAACAACATTGAGTTCTAAATCAAAACAATATATATGATCATTAAGGGCAAAATAGAACTTTCGGACTCATATCTGCTGCAACAAATTACTTGAGAGGCTGCGGATTCAAAATTTCTAACTTGGAGGGAAGATCGACCTTAGGGGCCAGACGATGACATTAATGGTGACAGCACATAACACTTTTTGAAGAATGGCTTGTTATGAACTTATTCGGTAGTTAATCACATGAATTGGAACACAACACCATTATACAAGTGTAATAAACAGACCTTAGCTTTCCCTTTGGCAATTTGTCAGCATTATAATCTGCATGTGTGAGTTCAGCCATGTCACCCAATGCAACCTAAAAGACACATTCAAGTCCACTTTTGAGGGGAAGGGAGAAGAAAATCTTAATGATAGCAATCTAGATGAAGTGAAATAACAAAGATTCCACAAGTGTTTTTTTTTCTTTTTTTCCGAAATAAAAGACGAAAGTGTTATCATTCAACAAAAATTCCACAGGTGTGGCATGTAAACATCAACCAGGTATACAAGGTCAATCTTCAGATCAGGTAGTTGAAAAAAGCTCTCCATCATATTATATTTTTACTGAACTGTGGAAAGTATATCAAAATGTTTTCAAAATGTCCAATATGTTAGATGATAAGGATGTTTCTTTTGCATGCTTTAGGATAGAATTTGCAGTCAATGATATACAACGTAATAACCACCTCACATAAAAGCAGCACACCATCAGTAGATGAGCGAGTAGTATAGCAATAATTTGCACTTTTTGAGAACATGTCAGCAAAGTAAACCCCCTTTCCAAACATGTAACCTGTTGAAGGTGCTTCAGGAGGAGCAATCCGTAAACCTGGTGGTATGTCAGGATATCGGTTGCAGTCAGATATTTTTCAGTTCAAACAAAAAGTGAAACAAGTAAACCTTATAACAAGAGCAATAAAGATAACCTTGGGATAGAATGCCAGTCCAGTTTGTAAGACGAGAACCATGCCACAAGAGCATTCTATTGCTTGAACTGGCAAACTGCTCAATTTGAGTGAAAGGCAATTATATTTGCTGTTTATTTCTAAAAAACTCTACAGATAATTGAAACAAAAAATCGTAACGCTCCTAAAACATCACAAATAAACATAAGAGTCGCTTAAAGTCAAAGGTTATGAAGCAATACCTTTCCAAACTGTTCAACTTCACCAGCTCGTGACACTCTGAATATTTGAACAATATCAACTGTGTAGCTTGAATGTGTTTTGGCGTGAGTGTTCTGCATATACTTTTCAATCTGACCACATTTGGGCAAAAGCATCAAGGCTAAAGACCAAACAGTAAAAGTCTTATAAATCAATCCAGTAAAAACAATTTTATAGAATTTTTCTTTCTTGTAATTATGAATCACTTTTCAGTACCAAGAATGAAAATCTCAGGTTTCAAACAGCCAAACTTTGTCCTCCATTTCCTCCCTCAAGGGAAAAAAAAAGGCACAACCGATCATACTTTTGTTTTCAAACTCTAGAACTGAATAAAATATGGATACCATAATAAACTCTTCGGAATCAACTTGAACTGGCATCAGCTCACAATTAAGGCATTGATAATGGGCATACAAGGGATCTTCCTGTGAGAACACAGTTCAAGAAACTAAATTAGGCACTTGGCAAATGCAGTAAAAGCAAAAAAAAAAAACAAGTATCAGATTGACCAAGCAATTTGTCTTATATGCACAATTGGAACCAAAATGGGGCACATCCACCATAGACAATCTTCTCAAAATATTATGTGCTTTCCACAACCATGTCCCCTTACCCTGTTTTCATAGACTAAAAACAACTTCTCATATGGTAGTGCCATTTATCTCTTCCAGAATCAAGTACCAACAAATTATAAAAACTAAATGAAATGCCATTATAATGTTTGCTTACGGGGAATTCACACAGACATAAAACTGGAAGCATGGATACAGAGAGGGGAAGAAGACAGTACACACATAATTTCCTTTCAATATTACAATCTTATGGCACTCACATAAGTATATGATCATTATTTTCTATATCCTGAAATCTGAAAGAGGATATTTCATTTCCAACCAACAATTGATATTTAGATCCAAAGTGCAAACCCACTTTTTCACGCAAAACCAACAAAATGATAGTAGAGAATAAATCTAAGAAAAAGAGCCAGCATCATAGAGAAAGAAAGTGGTACTGTGGTTATTCATCTTGAAATGGATATTAGGGAGGACTACTAGCTCATTCAAGTCTAGAATCATAATTGTAGCTAGGAACAAAGAGAACCATAATACAATATGAGCATTTATGATGCTGATTCAAATTTTGCGCACTAGTTTTCAGAAATTTACCAACAAATACAGATTCAGACAGAGAGAATCATCAGCAATGCACACTAGCAAACAAGAAATACCTGCATTTCGGTGTCATCAGCCAACAATTTTGTTGCAACTTCAATTTCACCTAGAGCTTCAACCTTAAAATCCACAGAAGGAAATAAGAATTGTTTCTTATAAATTAAAACAACAGAATTGAATGGCTGTAGAATAACAGAAGCCCACAAAGGGGCAGGTAAAATTGTGACTCCTTCCATTTGGAAGGAAATTTAACAAAACAAAAAAAAAGCAGATATATTAAATTCAAAGGAAAAGTTCACCATTTCCAACTTGCATTTCAACTTCTGAGGCGTATCAATTACAAACTCTCCTGAAATCATCATACTTTCGTGTTAATTGGATGTTTTCCTTAGGAGAGAATGTAATTCAAGAAGCATACACAAAGACAAGAGAGGACTCACGCATTTTTTTAAACCCAAAGTCATGAGGTATAACAGTGTAGAACTCCCTGCAATTAAAAAGCCGATTGAAAACTGAAAACCAAACTTCACTGGAACTACAGTTCAGGATTTTGGATTTTTAAGCAGAGATGGATACAAAATGGTATATCCAGACATGCACTTCAGAGTATGAAGGAAATTGGTCGGCAAATGATAAATTAGTTTGCAAATTCATAGGGTCTTACCCAGTTAATTCCTCAAGTTTTCTCCTGTTCGGTTTGTCAATGACATCAGCAATCTTCTTCAAGACTTCATAGCCCTAAAAAATTGAATACAACTAACTTAATGGAAATTGGACACTGAAAGGGAACTAGAAACACCATATTATGATATGTGATAGCATTTTGAACTATGGTTGTGACAAAACATTGTCCCACTGAGCTCAATAATCATGCATATCTTTTCATTGATATGATGAGCAGGAATATCTGAAATCAGAGCAGAAAAAGGTTCAGCCCTGAAGGCATGATTCACATAAAATCTACATGATTATTTGACAACTAATCAGAAAATAATAAGTTGATGTTTCACATCAGTTTTTATTAAAAGAAAACGTTACACAACAATTTTACACATTAATTAGCAGTGAAATATCTAAACAAAAGATCCATGATATCCCTCTTATTATAACTAGACCTGAAGGTAGACAATTTTGAAATGTTTATGGTTGAAAAATAAAATAAAATAATTAATACAATCTATCAAAACTAAGAGGCTAAAATCAAATGAATCAAAGAAATAAGTTATAACTCAAATTCTCACCTTTAAAATTGTTGACTTGCTGAACTTACCAAGTGGCAGCTTATTAGCATTGTATCCTGCAATTTAATTAGAATGATACTATCATGAAATACCAATAATTTTTTAATAGAATAAAGGGAATTATTCAAAAACTATGAATATAAGCTACAAGGAAGTATCATAACTGAAATAAAACAACAAAGATCTTTAATATTTCGTATGTTAATATCTGTATCATCATGTGATAGTGACAGATTAACCAACCTATTTCCATCATTTGCTGCACCATCATACTAACATTGCAAATGAGAGAGATAAATTTAGCAAGGCATGGCTCAAGCTTTGTTTCCCGGGATTGAATTTCTGAAGTATGAGAAGGATTCTTGGTTGTCTGATAAAAACATTGTAAACTCAGAAAGCAGTAGACTCAATGACATTGAAAGGTAGACATACTGGGATAGGATGTAGAATCACCCTTCATTTCATGCTTCCAAGGAATGATTAAAATATCTGTATAAAAAGTTTCTTTTCATTATTCTTGGTTGGTCTTCAAGAATAGACCAGAGGCCTTTAACATCATTTTCCAAGATATCGATTATATTGGACACTCAACTATTTTAGCAAAAAGGAATCACATAGACTTTGGAATACTTACAACTGATTCTTTTTCCTTCCCATCGTAATCCATTTCTAACCACATATAGCACTTCGGATGAAACACAAACTCCTTCCTGGCAAACCAATGATTCTTTGTCTTGTCGTAGAACTTCTTTTCGAACTCAGCAATTGCAGCCTCTCGCATGTTATAGGGTCCAAATAACTTGTCTTGACCCTTTATGCCTACCCTACCCCACCTATTGTAGACCATATATGTCCTAGCATCATCAGACTCTGCAAGTAGATTTGAAAGTGTAAGACAGGAAAGAAAAAAAAATCCACAAAACCAGAGAGATAAATCTAATATCATCTTCTTGCTTCGTAAACTGTGTAGCGACATAGTCCATATAAACCACCAAGCTATATTACTGATATAATCCCATTCCATTACTTTATGACCACCTGTCTTACTTTATGAATTCGCTAAAGTAGACAAGCATCATCTTTAAGTCACAGATTGTGTTGAAGGTTCCATCACTTTCCCAAACATAACAGATTCAACAGCAGAATGAAACATATTGAGGGTCAAGAGACAACCTAGTAGTTGCACCACATAGAACTTATTGTTGTTATCAGTAAGATTTGTCTGATTTAACATGACATCATAAATATCATCACCCTGCATTGCATCATGCAAGAATAATTAAGAAAATGAACAAAAGAAAAACCAGTTCTCACAAAAATATTATTGTATTTTTATCATTGTGTTAAATTGCTCGCACTTTTAATAAAACTACTCAAAGTGTTTTTGGGATATATGAACTATAAATCATTTGAAGAACTATTAGTTCAACTAAGAGAAATAACAGTTCAATTCCCAAATGAATTATAAATCAAATTAATACTAGTTTTGATAAATTTTAAAATATATTACTTCTAATTTACTTGTAAATTCAAGTTAAATCAAGTTATGTTATTTTGTCTTTACTCTTGAATTTCTCAAGGCTCTTGAAGTTATATTTTTCACTTCTTCACGGTTGAACTAAGTATTCCTTCCATATTAGTAGTCACTTCTTCCAAACATATGTAGCTTTTCGAATTCACAGTAAGTATCAAGTAGCAAGTAGCAACTAACAGAATCTTATCATTTTTGGGATAAATTACCAGTTGGAGAACATGATACTGTGTCTTTATGTGATCGGGAAGCCATAGGTCCAACACTGCCGCACCCTTCTTGGTAGCGGTGACTATTTTCTCCTTACACTCTTCCTCCTCCGCTGGACCTGCCACAGAAACATCCTTCAATGATGCCCCAAAATTCACATCAGAATATGAAAATGCAGACTCAAATTCGCATACATTGAGTATAAAAATCACAAATAACTAAAACAAAGAAAGGAAAGTACGAATACTATCAGGCTTTCCATCCAATGAATCCGCATCATCACATAGCCTCTCGAGAAGCTCTTTCTTGGTGCCAGTGGAAGATAAGCCGCGACGAGTAGCTTCTTCTCGCAATTGCTTAAGACCAAATCCACGGAACTTGTCAACGACCCGAGTTTTGCTGGAACCATCATTTTCATCAAGAGAATCCCTAGCTCGCTTCTTGCTGACATCCACTGATTGATTGTCTTCTTCTTCTCGAATTGCCTCTTCGAGTCTCGCCACCTGCAACAACTCCCAGCAGTAACTTCGTAATAACCCGGTCAATTAGAGTAACAAGCGATAATAAGAAAAGAGGCTGACCAGAATGGGCTTGGTTCCAGTGGTACTGAGTCCACGCTGGGCGAGTTGAGCTCGAACTTGATCGACTTGGAGAGTCTTCGCCATTTTCTGTCACCGATGAATGATTCCCTGGCTTTGCAATGGCGAATGGTATTTATAACGAGGGACCGAGGGAGGGAAAAGAAGAAGATGAATACTAAACGATGTCGTTTTGTTGAGTTGGGTAATTCAAGCAGCTTTCGCAGCACGATATTGGCGCCCTTTTTTTTTTAAGCGAGCTTATTATCTTCCTTCTTGAAGAAGATTTATTGAATTTCAAAAAAAACAAAAAAATACTTTTCAACTCTTAAATTTATTTTTTTTAATGTAAGAGAGAAAATAATTTATATATATAATTTCATATTTGTAGAATAAATAAAATGCAAATAAATTAATTTTTGAAAATACTAAAAATTATAGTTTTAATAAAATATATATAAATTATAATTAATTAATAAAATTTAACTTAATTTAATAAGAGTCTCGAATGATTTAATATAAAACTTAATTAAATGATTCAATTAAATTCATAATTTTAATTAAATTTATTTTCTTCCTTGTGATCCTGTCCATCTCCACGACCAAGCCCATTTATTTAGCCCAAGTTCAGTTCTCCTTGAGCCGGTTCAGGCCGGAAGTAGAACAAGGTCTACAGAGGATTCAGAAGGGGAGAAAATGGCGGAGCAGCTAGGAGGAGGAGGAGGAGGAGGAGGAGGCGGAGGCGGAGATGTTCCGCAGCGGCAATCACCACAACAAAATCAAAATCAAAGAGAAGACATGACTTCGTATGTCACCGCCTTAGAAACGGCTCTGCTTCCATGCCTGCCCGCCAGGGAGCTCCAAGCCATTGATCGATCTCCTCATCCTTCTCATCAAAGTTAGTAACCCCTACAACTTCTTTTTTCAACTCTCTCTTCTTCTTTTCGGAGCTTCTCTCGTTTCTTTCACTGATTTCAGGTATAACAATTGTTTAAGGTAGTATTGATTTCTTGATATATAGAGTAGTTTGCCCTTGCTTATCATCTATGCAATGAATCGTCTCCTTAACCTGCAAATCTCTCTCTCAGCTTCTCGAACTAGGAAATGACTGAAATCGAGTTGCTGAGTCCGTTTTTTGATAAATTGCTGTGTAATTTTTCTCTTTATCACGGAAGAGTGAAGACTATAGCAGTTTGCAAAAGATCATAAATTGAATTCTGCTTGGTTGAGGAGGAAAGTTTCTTAGCAGTATGAACTAAGTGTGGCTCATGTACTGCATGCTATGAAAAGAAAATTTTATTTCATATACTTCCTTCTGCCGTATCATACTTGTGACCGCCGGTTCTTTTATTGTTATATGTTGGATTATCAAAGGACATTTTTTGTAAAGCGCATGCCTTATTTTTATATTAGAGACAGATAATGTTTAGGATTTTGCAATATTTAGTATATCGAGCTTAGAGTTTGAGCCTAACTGAAAACAAGCTCCAGAATGTTCTTGTAAATTCAACTTCTTTTCTTTCATTAGTCACAGTGGTCAATTCGCCTATTCCGTTTTTCTGTTATTGTTTAATACTCACATGATAGATACTAGAGGGTCCAACCGGATTTTTTTAGATAATTCAGCATGATAATTGGAATCTTTTCATGACTATGTGGATTTTGAGGTCTTGTGTCCTTATCAAGATTAATAGGAAGGCAGAAAACGATCGTAATGGTATTGATACTTTTATTCCCTCATGCTCATGTAAGGCAGTAATATTTCCAGCATGTCTCCTGTTGATAAATGAACTTGCATGAAGATTTGAAGGAATTTTTTCTGGATTCTTACCTGAAATCATTAATTGGAGGAAAATGCAGACAGATACTGAGTGCTCTCTTTTCTTAGACTTTCTTCTCATTTTTATTCAGTCTAGCAAGTGGAATAGTGAAATTATAAGTTACCACTCTAGATATACTATCTTCTATAGACCTTATCTCGTGCTAAAATAGTAAAAGATAAAGTGGCATACAGGATTTACTGCTGATTATTTTAGATTCATCTTCATGGTGTCTTCTTCCCAATTGAATTTTTCGCTATCTGAAATTCTTAAAGATAAAAGAGTTCTCTGTTTTTGTATGGTTTGTTTCTGCTCCTGCACTGTTTTCCATTGGAATAATTTGTATTCTGCCTGCACTATTTGTTGATCAAATGACATGGCACCAGCCTATACCAGGCATTGCATGGTTTTTCTAGCAACTGTTGTTTATGGGGCTTGATTACTTTAAGCTGGTGATTATGGTATTGTTTGCGTCTTTTTGAGTAATTCGGAGAGAAAATGAATAGTCATATAGTCACATAGCAGAATTTTGCATTCCTATCCATTAGATGCTAATAAGAGTGTTTATGTTGTTTAAGTTGACGTGGAGAGGCATGCCAGAGACTTTATGGAGGCTGCAAAAAAGCTTCAATTATATTTCATCAGCCTGCAGCGGGATGACTTACCAACCAATATTGAAACCCTTAGGAAGGTAATTAGGCTATATTCCTAAAGATTCAATGCATGTTCGATCTATCCCGGGAACTTCATTTCTGATCTCATGGTTTGCAGGAGATTGCTATGATGGAAGAAGAGCTGAAGAACAAAAATGAGATTATCAAGAAGCAGGAAAGACTCATCCAAGGGTGGACTAAGGAGTTGAAAGACCAACTAGATAAACACAATACTGAGCTGGAAAGAGTGTAGTTAGAAAAACCTAGCTTATCAATCAATTAATGGCAGAGCTTGTGGAGTTTCGTGTAATGTTTCGGAAGTCAGTTTTGCCTTATTTTTCATGTTGGATTTTGCGATTTTTTGGAAAATGCAACTGATTCTCTCAAATTTCCGAACAGAGTTGTTTTATTTGTTTGTTATCGCAGATTAAAATTTTCTCTTACTAAATTAAATTCATTTGAAATTCAAGTCATTTAAAATTTCATATAAAACTCAAACAATGAATTCTAAATTCCATTAAATTTGATGGAATGAAGTGAATCTTTTAGTTATATGTGATCTGAATTTTATCATCTCTCCTGGTAAAGGTATTGGTAGCTTTACAAATAAATTCTTCATAAATTTAGAATTTATTCTAAACATAACCTTCCTATAAATTTTAAAATTAACTTCTACACAAATTTCCCTTCTGTTCCAAACATAGCCATTTTCACATTCAATCGGGTCTATAATACAAGGACAAAGTCATTGAAACTACTTGGGTATACAAACATTGCCGCTTATCTTATAC